CGGTTTGGTTTATGCTTTTGCTTAGGGTTTCTGCGTAGTTTTAGCGTTATGTTTAGGGTTTAGGTTTAGGTTCTATTCTGCAGTACGAGTTTTGGCCTTTCGGTTAGGGAGAGGGATTAGGGTTAGGGTTAGTTTTACGTCATAGGGTTACAGTTTAGGGTTACGGTTATGGGTTTGGGGTTAGGGTTAGGGATTAGTTTTAAGGTTAGGTTTACATTTTAGGGTTAGTGTTAAGGATTAGCGTTAGGGTTTAGGCTTAGGTTTAAGTTTAGGATTCGAGTTAGGGCTTAGGGTTATTCTTTGGATTAGGGAAAGGGTTAGGCTTTAGGTTTAGGGTTAGGGTTTATGGGTCGGTGTAGCATTATGTTTAGGGTTAAGATTAAGGTTAGGGGTTCGGGTTTAGGGTTAGGTTTTATGGGTATGTTTATCGTTATATTTAAGGTTGGGTTTAGGTGTAGCATCTATCCTGCAGTACGCGTTTCAGCCTTAGGCTAGGGTTAGGGTTTGGCTTTGGGTTAGTATTAGGCTTCGGGTTAGGTGTTAGGTTTAGTATTAGCTTTAGGGTTAGGGTTTCTGGTTATGTTTAGGGTTAAGTTTAGGGTCTATCCTGCAATACGAGTTTCGGCCTTTGGGTTAGGGTTAGAGTTTAGGGGTTAGGGTTAGAGTTATACGTCAGTATAGCGGTCAGGGTTTTGGGTTTAGGTTTAGGGTTAGGATTACGATTAGGGTTATTTAGGGGTTTGGGTTTAGTATTAGGGTTAGGTTTACGTTTTAGGGTTAGGATTAGGATTTGGATTGGGGTTAGGGTTGAGGGTTAGGGTTCGGCTTAGGGTTAGGGGTTAGATTTAGAGTCTAGGTTTAGGGTCTATCCTGTAGTATGCGTTTCGGCCTTAGGTTTAGGGTTAAGGGTTTAGGGTTAGGGTTAGGATTAGGGTTAGCGTTAAGTTTCCGTTTTAGGGTTAGGATTAGCATTAGGGTTAGGGTTAGGGTTTATGGCGGGGGAGATTACATGTAGAAGGCCCATCAGTAATGTGTCCCTTCTGAATCTCGAGCTCTGCCCCATATAATACGTGGTCCTGCCATGTTCTGTTCCTGTGAGGCAAAGACGTCCACCAGGGGATGCCTCCGCCCCCCCCGCCCTGTAGCGTACTTGGGGGATGGGGGTGTCTGTTCTGTGACGGGGGGTTTCCCCCTGCGCTGTGATGGGAGCCTCTCGCTGACACTCCCAAATGTGTATTAACCCAAGCTCAGCCTCCCAGGGTGGCAAACAAAGGAAGGAGGGCGGAGACCAGTACTTGGGTACAGGAGGCAGGCCTTGAAAAGAGGTTTTGTGCTGTCTGGTATCATGGAGGAAGCAGCCTAAGCAACGGCTGGGATTTAGGGGCCCAGTACCCCCATCTCGTGGGGCGGGGGGGGCGTGAGGCATCCTACGCCTAACCAGATTGCATCTATACTGTGCTGTAGAGCAATAAACTCCTGCTATTCTACTGGCTTGCGGAGTCTGCTCGTGCCACAACGGGGATACAGCAGGCGGGGGAACCCTGACGCGCCACCACTCCATCCCTGGAAGAGCTCCTGCAGTACCTTGCCCTTCAGGGACCACTCATGTGTTGTGAAAGTGCAGATGAATATGTCTGCCAGGACATTCCTGTTCCCTGGTAGGTACGCAGCCTCCAAGTGAATATGGTGCGCTATTCAAAACTCCTAAAGGAGTAGGGCTTCCCAGCACAGGGGAGAGGAGCGAGTCCCACCATTTGTTGATATAGAGCCGTGGTCCCCAACCCGGTGCCTGCGGGCACCATGGCACCCGCCAGGCCCTTTACATGCGCCCACGGCGCAATCTGGGCTGGCCCCGCCCCCAGGCGTGTGGCAGGTGCCAGCCCTGGGCACATGGCTGGCCCCGGCTCTGGGTGCGCGGCGCATGCCCTGGCCTCGGCCCCCACGCGTGAGCCGACAAACAGCTGATCAGCTGTTTGTCCGCTCAGCGCGCTAGTCTGGACGCTCCCCTGCCGACATCGAAGCCCTTTGTCGGCAGCCCCGTTATTCCTCGTGGGATGAGGTTTACCGGCCCCGGGTGTGCCGCGTGTGCCGGTGCCGACCCTGGCCCTGGCCCTAGCCCTGGCCCTGGCCCTGGGCCTGGGCCTGGGCCTGGGTCAGGCCCCTGGGGCAGGGAACCTGGGCAGCCCCTGCCCGGGATCGCGGCACATGCCGGTGCCGACCTCGGGTGTGCGGCGCATGCTTGGCCCTGCCCCCAGTCATGTGGCCTGTGAGCAGCCCCGCCCCCATACGCACAGCATGTGAGCGGCCCCGCCCCCATACGCGCAGCATGTGAGCGGCCCCGCCCCCATACACGCAGCATGTGAGCGGCCCCGCCCCCAGGCGCCCGGCAGCCCCAAAACGTTGGGGACCACTGATATAGAGCATTGCTGTCGTGTTGTCCATCAGGACCAAGACTACTTTGTGCCTCAGGTTGGACACAGATGTGCACAAGTGGTCCCTCAAAGACAAGATAAGGAAGGAGGAAATTGGTTATTACCAGGCAATTAAGTGGCTAAGTTGGAGTACTACGACCATCAAGAGGCGGGGCAGCTGGCTTTGTAATGTGTAAGGTAATTATCTAAATTAAGGCCCATTCCCAGAGTATTACATAAACATGCTGAGTCTCTCTCGCAGTAATTTGGTGTTAGTCTCTTTTACGTAAAACACATATTTTCAGGTCTTTAAGGGCATGGCCAGCTCGAGTAGCCACTTAATTTCCTCCTTCCTTATCTTGTTCTTGGTCCCTCATCCCCACTTTCTGTAGTTGATTTGTTACTGTATAATTTGTTTACGCCTTCATTCATGCCATTCACTTTCAGACTATGATCTGAACAAGTGGGTCTATCCCATGAAAGCGCATTACCTAATAAACCATCTTGTTAGTCTTTAAAGTGCTACATGGCTGCTTTTTTATTTTATTAATAAAATCATTCTAAGGTGGAGCTCTCTCTTTCCTGGCTCTCGCTGTGAGGGAAGAACAACAGTCACACAGCTCACATTTTCAACCCAGAGGAGACCTGAATATGTGTGCCTTTAGTGGCATTTTTTTCTTTCTTCGTATTTGTCTTTTCTGTTTAGCCTTTTTTTTTTTTTTGACGTAAAAGAAGAGCTGGGAGAGTCCCGGTTCGCACAGGTTCTGCATGGGAGCGTATTCAGAGCCCTTGAGGGGGAAATGTTTCTCCTTAATGTTCTCTTTTGTTCCATTTTTTTAAATATAAAGAAGACTAACTGGGAATTGTCAAAACTAACTATTTAGACTAAAAACTCATTAAAAGTAAGAAGGTAAGAGTCTGACAGGGGGATTCTTGTCAGCTCTGTCCGATGCCAAGGGTGGTTGAAGAGGCACTGAAAGGGAGGGGTTGAGCTGCGTAACCAACAAGCAGGCGGGAGCATCTCGAGATGCCTCTCGTGCATGTGCAGCCCAATGGGGGAAACTGCTTTGCAAGGCTCCAGGCAACCCCTCACCTAGAGTGGAGCACCCACAGGGACACCACTCAAAGAACCACAGCAGTGTGACACGAAAATTGATGGGTTACACGAAATAATTTGCTCAAAGCACCTTAGCCTTATGTTATATTCACATCCATTTCATAAAGCCTGGGCTGGGGAGGGATTCCATCACAAGTAGTATTAATTACAGAATCACTTGCATGTGATGATATGCATTTAAAGACCATGGACCAGAGCCTGATTTCATTTAAACAACCAATAACTCCATTCAAGTCAATGAAGTTACGTAATGTGAGACCTGACTTGCATCTATAGTGAGAGAGAACACCACACAAAGAATTTGTGTTCTCTCTGCTAGGTTTGCAATTTTAAAATTGAGAAGACATATGTTCCCATGTCCACACAAAAGGGTTTGCATCTTATACCCACCTTGGAGAGCAGCAGACCTCAAAAATGAGAAACATTATTGAAATAAACCTCTCAGTAAATTACTCTCACAAATAGGTGTTCTACAGATGTGTAAGTACTTCATCAACCGTGTTGAGAGAGAGCAGATTTTTGGCCTAACCTACTGCAGGTTGCGGTACTACCAAAAAAAATCCGCATGCCACCCTACAGTCTTAATTAAAAACACTAAGGTGAAATGTAATTATACTGAATGCCACAACTATTAGACCTTGGTTACCCCAGTCAACCTATAAATCTGCAGCTATGAATCTGCAATTTAAAATCATGGATCTTTGGTAAATACAGGCAGTCCCTGGGTTATGTACAAGATAGGGACTGTAGGTTTGTTCTTAAGTTGAATCTGTATGTAAGTCAGAACTGGTACATATTGTAGAGAAACTCTAGCCAAGCATTTCTTCAGAGCTGTTCCTCACTTCCCTCAGTCCTTTATGCTCAAGCTGAGGTGTCTGCTGAGAAAAGCTGCTCTGCGTCTCCTTGGTTTGCTGCGGGGGGGGAGGGGGGGGCGCTAGCTTCGCGTCTCCCTGGTCTGCTGGGGGGAAGCAGCTAGTGCGGGGTTGCCTCACCCCGTTTGTAAGTAGGGATCCGATGTAAGTCCGATCCATGTAACCCGGGGACTGCCTGTATATGGATGTCTACCTACTACCTCTTCTTGCTCACCAAAACATATTTGGGATAATTCAGAAACATCAGAGAATACACAGCTTGAAAACACTTTTTAGTACTTTATATCCACCATCACTAGGTAGATCAGGCATAGCAATCTTGTCACAGCTTTGCTCCTGCTGTCATATGAAACACTAGCTAGAACCAATTGAATGTTTACAGTATTACAGAAAACAGTACTTTAAACCTATAAGCACAAAGTGGTATCAAAATGATACAAGATTTCTTTTCTCTAAAAAGGTTACCCTTTTGAAAAAGGTTACAGGATGTAAAATAATTGTACAGTAGGTAAAAATTACACACTAATTTTTCTTAAAGCTCTCAAATTTTCAACTGAAGGTTTTTCTTATTTTAAAAAGTTATCTTCATCACTGATGTAGTTTTTTCAAAGCAGACAAAACTCTTTAATTCTTAATTTATAGACAACCTTCATTCTCGCAGCTTAGCATGGGGGTTTAAGGAAAGGATAGCGCTCTAAATCAAACAAGACTTTACACATTTGGTGATTTAGCAGAGCTATCTTTGTTTCACTCACATGTCCTTTCAAGAACAATCTATGAATTAATAGAAATAGACATACATAACCACTTGTACACAAGACAATTAAGACAAAATGGTAGCATCTCTGCTAAAACAATACAGGATTCAGCTGATAGTAAAAAAATAAAATCAAGGAGGAGCACAATAGTTGTCCATAAACATTTCAATGTCACTTAAAAATGTATTTACCAAATGAAATAAATAATGTACATAGTTTTAGCGCATGCCCAGAATTTGTCTGCTTTTCAGTTGATAGTTTTTTTCTAATTCACACAGCGCTTGAGCCCGCAGGTTAGCAGCATAGAGGCGTTTCTCCAACTCAGAGCATTTTTCTTTTGAGAGGGGATAATTCTCAGCGTTATCATTGGATAGAGCATTCTCTTTAGTTGCACAAAAATGAACCTTCTTTCTTGAACAGGGAAGTAGTACTCCATCTTAAAAACAGAGAGTGAGGAGGGGAAAATGGCTTTTGAGCTTTATTGAATGAGTAAGTATTCCTCAATAGTTATTTATTTGCATCAGTGCCAGTCACTCCTACATAGAGCGGAGCCTAAACTGGCTCTAAGCTAGCACATGAGTATTAAAAACTCCAAGATAGCCAACAGCGTTATTTGAATCAAAAGCATCATATAAATGCTGCTCATGCATAATTCACCCTTAGTTACGGTTTTTCAACTAATGCTTTTCCTCCTCCCACAGCTTGTTTCACATAGGTGACAGTTATATAGAATGCAAAAGACAGTGCTAAAAGTTATTGGCACTTGTAATTTTACTTTCAGAAGAGCTAAGGTAGAAAAAGCCAGAGAGCTGTTTTTATTTAGCAAAGATTGCTTCAGTTAGCTCTTTCCAGAGGCCACACAAGACAAGAGAGTGATTTTTATTTTGTAGAAGCGCAAGCAGTATACAAAGAGCAGTGATATAGCATGAGTGTAAATAAAAAGTACAGGCTGCTGGAAGACGTAGTCATCCACTTAAACACTGCTTTGCAGTGACGTATAGGATAAACAGTTATATAACCCAGAGCTATGTAGAACGTTAATGTGACAATACTAGGCTACGTCTACACTGGCCGCTTCTTGCTCAGACCTCTTTTGCGGAAGAGTTCTTATGCAAAAACGCTTCCACAAGAGCGTCTGCAGTGGCATGTGCTTTTGCACAAGAGCATCTATGGCACTGTAGATACTTTCTTCTGCAAGAAAGCTCTGATGGCCATTTTAGCCACAAGGGCTTCTTGCGCAAGAAATTCATGTTGCCTGTCTACACCACACACACACACACACACACGCTCTATGAGCTGGTAACAGGTATGTCACACTAGCAATGAAATAGAGGTAGAACTATGCCCTTTGTTTAAAAGAAAAGGTAATCAGACTAATTAGTGACATTGGGAGAAGTGGCAAACTCGGTCTGGTTTGTTAAATAGAAGAGTTTACTTACTATAGAAAAGCAAGTTAAAAAAGACACATGAAAAAGGCAAAGACATTAGGAATTATCAGACTAGTATAAATAAGAAAGGCTGAAAAATTAGAGGATAGGAGTTTGCAATAGTTGTTCTACATTCCCCCCCACCCCCACCTCCCCCAAGACCTCCCACAGTTATGCCAGGGGAGAACATCAAAAAGTAATAATGCAAGAGGCAGGGGGTTAATTGGCAGATGATTAGACATATTGAAACAATTTTATTGTGGGTGATTAAACAAAAGCCACACAAGAGCTAGAATCAAGCTTGTAGACAACTATTCCAGTTAGAGTGGTAGTTATGTGGGCACTGAATCAGTGTCTCCTACATGCCGTGAATACTATAATTCTTAGCCAGGTTGCAACATACTTTACCCCTGTCTGTTTAGATTGTATTCCCACCCAGCCCCCACAACACCGTGGAAATACTATGCTGCTCCAACTTTTGCGCAGAAGGGCCAGTGTAGACAGCCCAGATTGCCATTTTCGCGATTGGGGCTTTTTTGTGGAAAAGTGCGTCTAGATTGGCACAGACGCTTTTCCGCAAAAAGCGCTTTTTGCGGAAAAGCGTCTGTGCCAATCTAGACGCACTTTTCCACAAAAAAGCCCCAATCGCGAAAATGGCAATCTGGGCTGTCTACACTGGCCCTTCTGCGCAAAAGTTGGAGCAGCATAGTATTTCCACAAAAAACACTGACAATCTTACATGAGATTGTCAGTGCTTTTGTGGAAATTAGAGGGCCAGAAAATCAGCCACTGTCTACACTGGACCTGGACGGATGGACGCACACACACACTTTATATTTTGAAGCTTGCTGCTCCTTACCTTGGGTTTTACTCAGTATAATTTGACTCATTCAGTTACAAATTCAGTCTAAGTTATTCATAGACTAAATAGTCTAGCTCTTATGTTTTATCAACTCTAAGTCTGCATTTTTAAGCCATTCATGAAACGAAGGCTATGGGGTCATAAGACATGCAATATGTTTTATTATCAAACACATTTTAAAATGTTAAAGATCATAATTACATAGATCTGGTTTCACAATTTGCTCCAAAATAGAATTAACATTCTGAAACCTAGAACTCACTCAAAAAAAACATTCAGAACTTTCTAGCAATTCTAAATGCCCTCCCTTCTCAAATCTAAGGATCAGGCTGAAAAAATATTGACAGTAGCAAACATCTCTTCCTAGAGCTGTTTTTCCTCATTCCATGTGATCCTTTTTATAAAAAAACCAAAAAAACAAGTCTGAGTTTGTTCAAAGTCATTATAGAAGTTTATGTAGTTTTAGTAAAATGGGACTTTTCATTGCATGCTGAATGTCAGGGGCATCCTCCTGGTTGTGCCAATCAGTGTTTACTAGTTCAAATGGTTTCCTGTTTATTCTCATACCTGGGCTATTTACACCTGCCAATATCCTCTGTTCCTTGAATAGGTTGTAGTTTTTCATCATGTTCTCAGCCCTGTTTTGAAATGGAGACAAGTTAATAAGCTATTTCTACAACATAGAAACAATCTTAAAGTTTGGTCTAGGTTACACCAATACCTAGCAAGTTTATCTTCTGCCAGTCTCTCACGAACACATAGCTCTCGCTCCCTCTCTGGAAGTAAGCATATAAAGAAAGTTATTCGATTTCTGCTGTTTTCCAAACAGGAGAGGCCTGTCCCAAGAGATTTTTCCCTTAATGAAAAAGTAGGTAGTCAGTGAAATATCAAGCCCTTAAATTTCTGCTCCCCACAAAAACACTGTTCAGAAAGTCAAATTGTCAGCCCCTGTACTTCATAGGATATGGTAGTGACTGTAGATGTAAAGGTGTTTGAAGTGACATTCCATTCTTGCATCATAGAATCCCCATACTGCTTAAAATAGCAATCATACCTCAGTATTGTTTTTTTACTCATACCACATACAAAATGGGAAATTACTGTCTGGAAAGGAGTAGTGTGGAGAGGGATTTGGAGGAGGTCATAGTGAACCACAAGCTAAATAGGAGTCAGTTTATTTACAAAAAAAGTGTATTGCAGGAACCTTGCAAGAAAGAAACAAATCAGAAGGCTAGCAGTGTTGGTTTTGCTGAAACCAGACTATGAGGAGTTCAGTGGCACCTATAAAGAACAAGCAGCTTATTGGGGCCATAAGCTTTCATCAGGATCAAAACAGTTGAGTAGGTGTGACTACCAAAAAAAAAAAAAAAAAAAAAAAAAAAAGAAGAGGTAAAGTTATTCTGTAGTAAGCTAGTCATTTTGAATTGCATTTCAGACCCATTCTGAGTGTCAAGTTTGCATTTGTGTGAAGCTGTAGAGCTTCACACAAGTGTTTTTGAATTGTATTTATTTTTTTGGCTGAAGTATGGCAACTTTCAAGTTGGCTACTGAGTGTCCAGAAAGACTGAAGGGCTCCCCTACTGGTTTTAGAATGCTACCATTCTTTGTTCAATTTGTATCCATTCTTTGCACACATTGCATTTTTGTACTAATGTACATGGTTTCATTGCTGGCACAGAGCACATAGATGTGCCAGTGAATGAGCCTCTGATGGGATGGCTGATGTGATTAGATCCTACGATGGTATAATTTGAGTAGGAGCAGGTCAGTCGCCCTGGAGAAAATAGCAACTCTGAGTAGGCAGTGCAGAGTGAGTAAGATGCTATTATTCTGATGTGGTAGCATTCTATTCACTTTACACTGTATGGCTAAACATGGGACCTGAATCCACTGACTTGCACTATGTTCTGTAAATTGTTAACCTTTGATTGCCATGAACAGCCTTCTCAATTCTCCAGAATTCCAACCGAGGTTTCTACTCTTGGATTAGGCTACCAAGCAAGGTAGCATTAAATACCAAAACCAAGCAATAAAGTGCTAGTTTTAAAAGGCTGCATGTGGACTGTCCCTTTGACAGGCTCTCAGACCAGGACCCCATTCTGACCACACCACTCCAAGAACGCAATTTCATACGTTCTAGTTGTTGCTCTCGCTCTTTCATGGCTCGTTCTCTCTCCTGCAGTTGCGCTTCCTTCAGTTTCAGCTCATTTACTGCAGTGCCCGAATGCTGCAACCTCTCTGGCTCAACTGATCGTCTTTTCCTCTCTGTGAAATTTCTCTGACCTTCTACCACCAAGTTAGCTATCAAGGGGTTCTGTAGAATTTCTTCAACAGATGGTCGATAGTAATCCTTCAGAGAAACAAAGCAGGGTAAGAGCATGGCAAGTGTCAGTATAAGAAACTTAGAACACCAGTTCTGTTCCTTATTGAGGTTTAAAAAAAAAAAAGTCAGTACAAGTTCAATCCTACAATAGTGTTAAAGCTCTAAGATGCTTTAAGTATCAAACAAAAGTATTAGTGGGGAAAAAAAAAAAAAACCAGCAGTCATTCCCTACCTTTAAGTTCAGCATTTTTTTAATAAGTTCATTCAACTGATCTGAATAACGATACGGTATTCGTCTGAACTTCCCTTCCTTTATCTTCTCTGACAATTCCTTTTGGTTATAGGCTGTAAATGGAGGCCTGAAGAAGAGTATTTATTTTCTTAAAGGTTCTTTTCACTGTTTAACATCTCTAGTTACAGGCTCTTCATTGTGTTTGAGAAAGTCTCCATTTACCACTTTGAAGACACCTGGTTTTTTGTTTGTTTTTAAAGTATTTAGAGAGCTTGGTTTTGATTTTTAAACTATTTTGAAAAGAGACAAGTTGGTTTGTTGATTACTATTTAGAGAAACTTAAGTCTTTGCGTGTGTAGCATCACATCATACTTCAGTTACAATAAAAATTCTCAGAGCATATATTTTATACTTACGAGAGTGCACACAGCTCATACAGCAAGCATCCTAGAGACCAGATGTCTGATTTTTCATTGTATGACATACGGTTCATTTGTTCCTAAGATAAAGTAGTCTTTAAGACATGTTAGCAATCAAAGATTTACAGCAATTCAGTTAATACAGCAGATCTAAGCTCTTATCATTGAAGTTTGCAGTTTAATTCAGGATAGCTACTTCAAGCTAGTACAGTTCAGAATATAGACTTATTGTTGTGCTAATATACTGAGCTTAGTTGTTAGAACTGCATCAGTATTTTAATAAAAGTGATGAGAAACATCCATTATAGACTACATGTAGATTAAAGAAAGGAAGAAAGTACTTCGGAATGAGTGAGCTTTGAAATGACCACACAGGATTTTCATTTCCAAGTTTAAGGCCACATCTCCGCTTGTCGAAGTTTTGACAATCTGGCAGTCAATCCTCTGGGGTTTGATTTAGCAGGTCTAGTAAAGACCCACTAAATTGAACCCCGGCTGTCACGAGTAGTAAGGGAAGGAGACAGGAGCATTCCCTATGGTGCCACCCCAGGAAAAGGTAGGTGCAAGGCAAATTGACTACACTTATGCAATGTAGCTGGAGTCATCTATCTTGCATTGATTTTCTCTAACAGTGTAGACCTGGTCTAAAAGCCACAGAAGACTAGAAAAGAACGGTTACTTACCTGTAACTGTTGTTCGAGATGTGTTGCTCATGTCCATTCGAATTAGATTTGCGCGCCGCGTGCACCGCGTCTTCCGGAGCATTTTCCCTAGCGGTACCTGTAGCGCCAGCAGGGTGCCCCCTGGAGTGGCACCGCCATGGCGGGGCATAAGTACCCCTGCCAGCGCTGCCCCGCCTCAGTTCCTTCTTGCCGGACACTCCGACGAAGGGGAGGTAGGGTGGGAGTCGAATGGACATGAGCAACACATCTCAAAGAACAGTTACAGGTAAGTAACTGTTCTTTTCGAGTGGTTGCTCATGTCCATTTGAATTAGGTGACTTCCAAGCTAACCCCACCTCAACGAGGAGGGGTCGGAGCAGTCAAACAGAGGTCCACGAAAGTTGAATAACCCAAACAAATTTATTCAACCCAACAAACAGAACAAATTGTATAAAGTGCAATGTGACACTGATAAACCAAAACAATACCGAGCTGAGGACTGCAGAGCCCACCCCTGTGTCCTACCTAGCCTGTTACGCCAGCACATAGTGCGCTGTAAATGTCTGAATTGACGACCAAGTGGCCACCCTGCAAATCTCAGTAATTGGAACCTGCGCCCCAAAAACTACTGAGGACGACTGTGCCCATGTAGAGTGTGCTGTAACCCGGGGCGGGACCTTCCTGGCCAGGGCATAGTACTCCCTGATGCATCCCGTGACCCAGTTGGACAACCTCTGGGTTGAAATAGGGAGTCCTTTCACCCTGTCCGTGAAAGCAATAAACAGCTGTTGAGACTTGCGGAAGGGCTTGGTCCTATCGATATAAAAAACAAGTGCATGCCTAACATCCAGGGAATGGAGCACCTGCTCCTTGGGGGAGGCGTGAGGTTTCGGAAAAAAACTGGGAGGTAGATCTCTTAGGACAAATGGAAAGGTGACAGCACCTTTGGGAGAAAGGGTGAGGGCGGAGCCTCACGTTGCCTATCAGAAAACACCAGGTAGGGCAGATTAATCGTCAACGCCCACAATTCGGAAACCCTGCGAGCCGACATAATAGCCACAATGAATGCAACCTTCCAGGAAAGGTGCTTCAAGGAACATGAAGACAGTGGCTCAAAAGGGGGCAACGTAAGTTTGAACAGCACGAGGTTGAGGTCCCAAGCTGGGAGAGGGGGTCTAACTGAGGGATACAACTTATCCAAACCCGTAATGAACCTTTTGACCACAGGGTCCGAAAACAGAGAAACTCCTGACGTACCAACGTGGAAGGCAGAGAGAGATGCCACGTGAACTTTGAGGAGATAGAGAGGCCACTAGACCTAAGCTCAAGAAGATAGTCCAGGATGGACGGGACAGGCACACAGGACAGGTTTACTCCCCTTCGGGACACCCAAGACGAGAAGCGCTGCCACTTGGTGGCGTACGACCATCTAGTAGAGGGTTTCCTACTACTTAACAGCACCATCTGTACCTCTTGGGAACATTCCCTTTCTGGCCGATTTAACCCTGGATAAACCAGGCCATTAGGTGTAGAGCCTCAAGATTTGGGTGAACCATGGTTCCACGGTTGAGTCAGGAGATCCCGTTCTGGCGGGAGTGATATTGGCTCCTCGGTGAGCATTTCCACCAGTATGGGGAACCAGAATTGTCTGGGCCAGCTGGGGGCTATTAGGATGACTGATGACCAGAAGGTCTTGACCCTGGTCAGGACCCTGGGAATCAGGGGAAATGGAGGAAAAGCATAAAGGATGCTCGCTGGCCACGTGACCGTCATGGCATCCCCCCCGGGAGTGCTTCCCTAGCCCCAACAGGGAGCAGTAGCTCTGACACTTGGTATTGTGTGCTGAGGAAAACAAGTGTAGTTGGGGACAGCGCCACCTGTGAAAACCTGCTGAAGGACAGTCTTTGAGGGTCCACTCATGGGCTCCAAAGGACCTGCTCAGAGTATCCGCCAGCAAGTTTTTGCACCCCGGCAGGTACCCCGCCTGCAGCGTTATGTCATACTCCACACACAAGTGCCAGAGGAGCAGAGCCTCACAGCAGAGGGGAGGCGATTGAGCCCCTCCCCCCCCCACCTGTTTAGGTAAAAGACGGCCACCATATTGTCCAAGCGGACCAGGACCGAGCGGTGAGAGAGCTTCAAAAGGAAGGTCTCTCAGGCGCTCCTTACTGCCCGGAGCTCCCAAATATTGATGTGAAGGGTCTGCTCTGCCGGGAACCATAAACCCTGGGTTCTGTGGTGCCCCAGGTGTGCTCCCCAACCCAGATCGGAGGCATCTGTGACCAGGGTAAGCGAGGGGGAGGCATGGTGAACGGGACCCCGCTGCACACTACTGCCTCCTGGGTCCACCACTGTAGGGAGGCTACGATACCCGGGGGCATGGTAAGGACTGCATCCCATAGGCCCCGAGACTGGCTGAATGCTCTGGCCAACCAGGCCTGCAGAGGTCTGAGCCTCATTTGAGCATGGCGCAGTACGTACACGCCATCATGTGTCCCAGCAACCTCGAGCAGGCCCCGGCTGTCGTGATCGGGGACCAGGTTAGCCTGGAGACCAGCTCCACTATGGCGATAAGCCTGGCCATGGGAAGGAATGCTCTTGCTACCCTGGCATCCAGGAGGGCACCCACAAACTCAAGATGCTGGGGGGGGGTCAATGATGACTTTTCCTTGTTTAGCATGAGACCCAGCCTTACGAAGAGAGCCCTTGTAAAGGACACATGGGCCTCTACTTGCTTGTAGGAGCAACCATAAATTAGCCAGTCATCGAGAGACGGAAAAACATGTATCCCTTTCCTGTGGAGGAAAGCCGCTACGACTTCCACGCACTTGGTGAAAACCCTGGGCACTGTTGATAGGCCAAAGGGAAGCACCGTAAACTGAAAATGGCATTGGGAAACAATAAATCTGAGGAACCTTCTGTGGCTGGGTCTTATTGCCACATGGAAGTATGTGTCCTTGAGGTTGAGGGTTGCATACCAGTCTCCCAGTTGTAACACCAGAAGGACTGAGGCCAGGGTTACCATTCTGAACTTGGTTTTTATGACCGACTTGAGGTCCCTGAGGTCTAAAATACGACAAACCCCGCCCTTTGGTTTTGGCACGATGAAATACCAGGAGTAGAACCCCCTGCCCTGCAAGTGGGGAGGAACCCTTTCTACCGCTCCCTTTGAGAGAAGCACCAACACTTCCTGGCACAGGGTGTCTTTGTGAGAGGTGTCCCTGAAAAGGGATGGGGAAGGGGGTTGGAAGGTGGCGGGCCCAGAAAAGGGATGATGGAGCCACCATTTACTATGTTTAACACACAGGTGTCAGTCATGATCTGAGCCCAAGCCTGGGCAAAGCGAGCTAACCTGGCCCCAAACAGGGGCCCAGGATGGGGGACTGGTACGCAACTCTCCAGCTGCCCATCAAAATTGTTGTTTGGGCTGCTAGGAAGGCCCTTGGGCTGCCCCACATTGGCTTCCCCTCTAGGGCGGCGGGGGCAACCTCTAGTGGTATGGTGGGGGGCGCAGCCTCTCCGGAACCCCCACCGGAGGTCCGAGGGTGGCATCTCCAGTAATCCCCATGGGACTTGGGACTGCGCTCTCCCCTGCTGTCTATAGGGCAGTTGGCAACACTGAGGGGCAGGCATGTGAATCCTCAAGGACCTAAGGGTAGACTTCATTTCCTTCAGCGTATGGAGCCTGGAGTCCGTATGCTCCAAGAACAAGGCTTTCCCGTCAAAGGGTAAGTCTTGGATAGTGTTCTGGACGTCAGGGGGAATTCCAGAAACCTGCAGCCAGGCACCACGGCGCATGCTGCAGAGTCAACTGCATCCAGGGAAGCCTGGAGGGCTGTCCGGGCAATGATCTTCCCCCCCCAAGATCATGGCCACGAACTCCTGACAGTCCTCGGCAGACAGTCTATCTTTAAATTTTTCCATGGCCTGCCAAGTGATGAAAGCGTAACAGCTCAACATTGCCTGTTGGTTTGCGATGCGGAGTTGCACCGCACCCATGGCATAAATCTTACGGCCCATCAAGTCCAGGCGTTTGGGCTCTCTCGCCTTTGGAGATGGACCCAGCTGAGGAAGCCTTTCCTTTTCAGCCACTGCCTGTACGACCAAGGACCCCGGGGTGGGCTGGGAGTATAGATGCTCGTGCCCCGGCTGGGGCACGTAATAGCGCCTCTGTCACTGGAGGCTGCCACAGGGCATTAGTGATTTTGGCTACTGTTTTGTTAAGTGGTAGAGCCAAGCGGGCGGGAGCGTCATCCGTGAGGATATCCACCATGGGATCCGTATCCTCTACTACTGGCTCCTCCGGGATACCCAGATTGGAGGCCAATTGCCTCAGCAGATCCTGGTGAGTGTGGGCATCCATGGATGGTAAAGCCGGCGCGGTATCTGCCAGGACTTCATCCGGCAAAGAGGAGGATGACAACTCCCAGATTGGTGCCAAAGGCAATGCAGGGGAAGGCACCCAGGAAGGAGAGGGGGGAGAATAACCGGTTGTGAAGAAGGGTCTGGTACAGGAGGTTGTAATTCCCCAGTGACCCCCTGGTCAGATGGCCTCTGCGGAGAAGGAGGGGGGCGAGAGTGTGGCAGATGGTGGTGCACACTGCCCCGATGCGCCAGATGCTGCAGAGGATGGCACAGGCCCCTGCCATTGATGGTATGCCCAAGGAGTCCAGAAGGGCCATTATGACTGTGGTGGCCAAGTTTGTTGTAGCCATAGGCGATCCCGTCGGGGCTGGGAACGGGACCTGTGAGCTGGGGACTCTCCTGAGGATCCCGACCAGAAAGACAGAGCATTGGAGGCTGAAGAGTACTCAGACTCTGGCCAAGGAGGGGGCCGTGGCGCTGTAATTGGTTGCGGTGCCTGCTGAGGTGGAGCTGGTTGTGGCACCGGAAGGAATGGGCCCGAAGCTCTTTCTGGGTGTATTGTTTGCTGCGGTACAGGAGGGTCAAGCCTCAATGTCTGGAATGGTGCTCGTTGCGGCACCTGCAGGCAACTGAATAGGAGCCTGTTGCGGTGCCGAGATGTCAGGTACTGGTGCATGGAGTAATTGGTTGCGGTGCCTGCTGAGGTGGAGCTGGTTGTGGCACCGGAAGGAATGGGCCCGAAGCTCTTTCTGGGTGTATTGTTTGCTGCGGTACAGGAGGGTCAAGCCTCAATGTCTGGAATGGTGCTCGTTGCGGCACCTGCAGGCAACTGAATAGGAGCCTGTTGCGGTGCCGAGATGTCAGGTACTGGTGCATGGAGTTGTGCCTGATGCAGTGCAGAGGGAACCGGTGCCGGTACGGGTGTTGCCACATGGCATGATAGGACTGATGATGTCGGTGCCGGTTGTGGTAGGTGCACCAGAGTGGCCCATGGGGTCAACACCGGTGCTGAAGCGTATGACTGTGTGGAAGGTCCCGGTGCCGAGAAAAAAAAGCAGCGAAGATGACGATGCACTGGCGGAGTGATAGGGCACCAGTGCGGCCAAAACTGGCCCCGGAAGGGGTGTCAGCGCTGTCAGAGGCCAAGTCCCATCAGTTGCCCCATAGGGGTCGGCAGCCCCCTACCGAGGATCGAGCCTGTCGGTATGGGGGCAAGGCCAGGGCCAGCGTGGACTGCGGTGAAGGCGACCGACCCGTCCGCCAACAACTGGGGTGGGGGGGAAGGTAGTGAGGGAGATCAAGTCCTGTACCACTTCAAACATGTCTGGTGTGGAGGGGCAATGGGAGGGTAGCTGGCCAGGGCTAGGTGGCCTTTCAGCCCTTTTGCGCCGCACCATTGTGGATAAGGCCGTAGGCACCGGAGAGATGGTACCTCAGTGCCCAGCAGGTTTGGGCTTATGCCTTGGGGACAGACCAAGACGATTTAGGCCTTTTTGATGCTGGAGAGTGGGACCAGTGCTGAGCGTGCATCTCCGAGGCTCTGTCCCGAGGCAGGGCCTTCCACATAGATGCCGGTGCACTGTGCACCGCAGCAGGAGTAGCCGGTGCCAGATGAAGCGACGCTTCCATAAGGAGGAGTTTTAAACGAGAGTCTCTCCCTTTTGGTGCGAGGCTTGAAGGACTTGCAGATCCTGCAGGCATCTGCAATATGGGTCTTCCCGAGACACTTCAAACAACTATCATGAGGATCCCCTTTGGGCATAAACTTTGAGCAAGCTACACACGCCTTAAAGCCTTGCGGCCCAGGCATTCCTCACCTCCCCACTCCGGGGGAGGGGGGGAAGAGGAGAAGAGGGAGAGAAAAAAAAAATGAAACTGACTACCTAACTAGCGAACTATTTACACTTGAAGGGAACAAATAAGAACCATAAACTAACTACGAGAAAGACATGCTCCAGTCTGACTGTCACAGGCGGTAAGAAGGAACTGAGGTGGGGCAGCGCCAGCAGGGGTACTTATGCCCTGCCATGGCAGTGCCACTCCAGGATACTGCTAGGGAAAACGCTCCAGAAGACGCAGTGCATACGGCACGCACACCTAATTCGAATGGACATGAGCAACCGCTCGAAGAAGAACCCTTGTTGCACAACCATTTGAAGATAGTGTCCCAGCTAGTCAGCCATATACGAGAACATCCTGATGCAACAATTCTGCATCTTGTAAGTTATATCCACCGTAAAAGTCCTTCCTCCACCCTCCCAAATGGAAGTTTTAAAGGCCTGTCCCTTCTTAAAAAGCATTTGACTACATGAACTAAGAATTAGTTTGTTTCATTAACTGAACCTTATAAAGACGTACATGAATTCTGATAAATCGAAAGGTTGCAGAAGAAGTCAGAATCTTTGAACACTTACTGGAGACATGTAATATGGAGTGCCAACAAATGTTTTAGCAAAACTGGTGTCATGGTGCAATATTCTTGCTAGTCCAAAGTCTCCAAGTTTCACATTATGTTTACTATCTAGAAAAATATTTGCTGGTTTTAGATCACGGTGCAACACAGTATGGCCACCATCACTCCGTCTGTGACATTCTTTCAAGGCCAGGGTCAACTGAGTCAATATGCGGAGAATGAAGTCTTCCTCTAAGTAGTGTCTATGAAAGGAGAATACATTAGCTAGGTGTTCACATTTTAGGGTATATCTACATTAGAAAATTAATCTGAAATAATTAAGTTTGAAATATATCCCAAAATAATATGTGTCTCACTATGGGGAAGTCTTGACATTAGTCCAATATAGGCTCCATTAATGAGCCTACTACCTCTACTGAAAGCCCCAGGAAACACTGGGGAGTAATTACTTCAAATTACTCTGGAGAGTAGTATTTCAAAATAGCAACAGCAACTAGTGCTATTTTGAAATACAGGGTACTCCCGCTATACATCTAAGATATGTTTAAAAAAGGGATGAATAGCAAAAGGATGTAAAGCAGGGAATTTCCCCTCCCACCTCACCCCATGGCTGACTTCTATTTGTGCAAACTGGTCTTTTTTTGCACAACAGAAGAGTGGGGAATGGGAGGACCCCCATAAGCTTCAACAACGCTAGTGCAGAACCAACATACCAGGGCAACTTATAGCAAGGACACCCTGTAACTATGGAAAAAGCTGCACATTCTGGGTTCATCTGACCACACACCCCCTCTGTAGAAGTGTTTCCTCCAGCCATCCCATCTTTGCTTCAGAAAAATCAGTTCCTTTCTATCTGTGCTGTAAGTATCATACATAGTAACCTAGAAGGTTAACAGCATTGACAAGCAGAATGATTTAAGCAATGTGTCAACTTTTGATTCTAGTCTTGCATCCTGGGACATTTAGGAAACAATGTCAAGGAGCTTTCAGACTCGAGTATTTTAAAATGAGTGGATACTTATATGACTAAGCCAACCAGCGAAGGCTCTATTTTGTATGAGCTGAAGCAGTGTGTTCTGTTGAGACAGTTCCATCACTACTCTTTTAGAGAAATGTCACAGCTAGGGGTAAGAGAACTTTAAGATCTCTCATTAAGTGCAATTATAAAACCCACAAGATAGGAAAGGGGCTTTGAGGTAGGTTTGATATTTGAACTTGCTTTTAAACTTGAGACAGTTGACAAGATTTCTGCTTGTTTTTATTTTCAATCACTGCAATAGCATTGCATGTGCACATTGTGCAAGAGTAGCTTTAATATAGCTTTGCTCAACGTAACTAATCAAGTTAGCAACGTTTATACATTTTTTTTCCCTTTCCAAGAGTTTTGGGTGATGAAACTCCTGTAAGGTCAAGTATGCCTAATTGCAAAAGTGAGTAAATCTACAGCACATCTTTAAGATCACACTGCAAAACAGTTAGTGGAGTAAAGAGAACCCATGAGTCCAGATTGTTCTGTCTCTAGCAGTCAGAACATGGTATCTAGCCTTGGATCATTTTTCTGTGAAAGATGGGGGCTACGTCTGGACTGGCATGATTTTCCAGAAATGCTTTTAAAGGAAAAGTTTTCCGTTAAAAGCATTTTCAGAAAAGAGTGTCTAGATTGGCACGGACGCTTTTCCGCAAAAGCACTTTGGCCATGGCCAATCTAGACGTGCTTTTGCGCAAAAAATCCCGATCGCTATTTTCGTGATCGGGGCTTTTTTGCACAAAAAATCCCGATCGCTATTTTCGTGATCGGGGCTTTTTTGCACAAAAAATCCCGATCGCTATTTTCGTGATCGGGGCTTTTTTGCACAAAAAATCCCGATCGCTATTTTCGTGATCGGGGCTTTTTTGCACAAAAAATCCCGATCGCTATTTTCGTGATCGGGGCTTTTTTGCACAAAAAATCCCGATCGCTATTTTCGTGATCGGGGCTTTTTTGCACAAAAAATCCCGATCGCTATTTTCGTGATCGGGGCTTTTTTGCACAAAAAATCCCGATCGCTATTTTCGTGATCGGGGCTTTTTTGCACAAAAAATCCCGATCGCTATTTTCGTGATCGGGGCTTTTTTGCACAAAAAATCCCGATCGCTATTTTCGTGATCGGGGCTTTTTTGCACAAAAAATCCCGATCGCTATTTTCGTGATCGGGGCTTTTTTGCACAAAAAATCCCGATCGCTATTTTCGTGATCGGGGCTTTTTTGCACAAAAAATCCCGATCGCTATTTTCGTGATCGGGGCTTTTTTGCACAAAAGCAATTTCAGCTGTTTACACTGGCACTGGAATTTTGCCCGAACGGGAGCAGCATAGTATTTCCGCAAAAAGCACTGATTTCTTACAGTAGGAAGTCAGTGCTTTTGCAGAAATTCAAGTGGCCAGTCTAGACACAGTCTAGGTTTTTACCTCACACAAGGGAATGCAATAAAGACTATTACTGTACATGCAAACTATCTTTCTGTATTTTATCAGTAGAAGTCATTCTATCACAGCTTCCACTAAACTATACCTAAACCCTACACTTTAAGGCTGGCTTTGATTTTTATTCTACACTGGCATGATTTTGCAGAAATACTTTGGGGCTGTGTCTAGACTGCATCCCTTTTCCGTAAAAGGGATGCAAATTAGACACACCACAATTGCCAATGAAGCAGGGATTTAAATCTCCCCCGCTTCATTAGCATGAAAAAAGCTGCCGCTTTTTTCCGGAAAAAAGCGCCAGTCTAGATGCGGATCTTTCGGAAAATAAACCCTTTTCCCGAAAGATCCCTTATCCCTCATTTTAAGATAAGGGATCTTTTGGAAAAGGTTTTATTTTCCAAAAGATCCACATCTAGACTGGCGCTTTTTTCCGGCAAAGCGCCGAGCCGGAAAAAAGAGGCAGCCATTTTTATGTTAATGAAGCAGGGGAGATTTAAATCCCCACTTCATTTTCAATTGCGATGTATCTAATTTGCATCCCTTTTATGAAAAAAGGGATGCAGTCTAGACACAGCCTAATGGAAAAGTTTTTCCGTTAAAAGTATTTCTGCAAAAGCACATCTAGATTGGCACAGATGCCTTTGCACAAAAAGTGCTTTTGCACAAAAGCATCCGTGGCCAGTCTAGATGCGATTTTGCGCAAGAAAGCCCCAATCACCATTTTAGCCATCGGGGCTTTTTTGCACAAAACAGTTCTTCCCTGTCTACACTGGCCCTCTTAAAGCTTTTACGCAAGAAGCACTGATTTTGTACATTACAAAGTCAGTGCTCTTGAGCAAATTCAAGCGGCCATTCAAGCTGGCAATTTTTTTCACAAAAACTTTATGCACTCCACGCAATTCCTTCGTACAAAAATTTAGAAATCTGTGATTAATTTTTTATCAAACCTAAGATTCTAATTGATTACAAGGAGATGCATTTTGATTTGGCTTAATTCTGGTAAATGATCCCGTTATTTAGATGGGAGAGCACAAGAGTCCCATAAACAGATTTCACATGCCTTTCCTTTGTACATCTTGCAATTAAAGTAGACAGGTCACCTCCTTCACAATATTCCATCACAATGTAGAGGGTTGTATTGGTTCTGTCAATAATGCGATCATAATATCGGACAATATTTGGATGTTTCAGCTCCCGGAGCAAATTCACTTCTGAAACAAGCATTTGTTTCTCTGCTTCTGTCATAGAGCCATAGTCAAGCTCTTTCCAAACTAAGACCTGAAAAACAGTTTACAAAATGACTAAAACACTAATGCTTTCTTTAGGAATGGCTTATAAAGCCAAGCCAAGCTAATTGATCAACTAGTTGAGCTTGATAAGCTAGAACAGCAGTTCTCCAAACATGAGGGTCAGGACTAAGGAATGTAATGATGAATTAGGGTAACTGTGTAACCACTGAAAGCCTCAGCAGTTCTATAGTTACTCAGGTTGTGGACTCTTCAGTATAAAGTTTAGCTTTATTCTACAGAGCCTGAAGCAAAGCTTCCCTGGGAGAAGGGCCACCCACCCCAGCTCCCTAGAAGGCCTCTTTGCTACTGCAGGGATGCCTCCTCCCCTGGAGGAGCTGGCTGCCCTTGCTCTCCAGGCTGACAGGGAGGAGGCTTCCCCCAGTGTAACCCATAACTTAGCACCCATTATCAGTTAAGCAGATAGTCATTTACATTCAAACATCTCTGATCAACATCCCCTGTAAACTGCGTGCTTTCAAACCACTCAGTTGAGATTTAAGTGCAGTCCATCTGCTTACTAGCTTTTCATATTTGTTCTTTTTTTTAATTGTATCCTTTGGTATATATGGTTGTGACTATTTTCTTCCACTATTTGATCTGAGGAAGTGGGTCTGGCCCACGAAAGCTCATCATCTAATAAACCATCTTGTTAGTCTTTAAAGTGCTACATTGTCCTGCATTTTGCTTCAGCTACCCCAGACTAACACGGCTACATTTCTATCACTATTTGATCTGAGGAAGTGGGTCTGGCCCACGAAAGCTCATCATCTAATAAACCATCTTGTTAGTCTTTAAAGTGCTACATTGTCCTGCATTTTGCTTACTAGATAGAACACCCACAGCTGTTTTAGGTTTCCATTGGTGGCACACATAACCACTTGCCTCTGTGCACATATTTTATTTTGGATATGGTTGGTAAAGATTAGGGGGAACATTAATCACGACCCCATTATAACAGCATTACCACAGAGTTGGCTTCAGCCTTGTTAGGAACCAGGCCTCTCCTGAGAATGGAGCAGTAATTTCTGTGTCAGGAGGTCGCAGTGCAATGAAGTTTGAGATCCCCCCACCCGACTGAGCTAAAACCAGGACCCGTCACACAGCGCGCAGCCAGAGGCGCTGAGAACAGATGTCGGGCATTACGGGCAGCGGCGGGGAATGGGACTTCTCAGCATGAGGACGCCAGAGATCGTCGCACTCAGCGGGGCCCGAGCTGCCCCGCTACTCACCTTGCCGTCCACCCGGCGCAGCACCTTTTGGCACTTCCCATAGGAACCGGCGCCGATGGTGAGCAGCACCTCGTAATCCTCAGGCCGGCTCGGCATGGCGTCACGACAGCGGTGCTGCCTGTCGCTGTCGTTTAAACGCGCCGCCCCCGCTGGTCATTGGCCCCGCACAGCAGCTCCGCCCACACCTTCAGTCCGCCCATTGGCTATTCCGTTGTAAACAATTTACGTCATTGTAACGGCCGTTACGACTGCTAAGCAACCACGGCGGCGCGAGGGAAGATGGGGAGACAGCTCCGCCCCTTTTTTCGTATAGTTCCGGCAGACAACTGCCCCATTTCCTGCCTTTGCTTCTCAGGAGCAGACGGACACTTCTCCCGGGCTGTGATCTTCCACCCAACGCCTGCCCGCAGTACCGTACCAACGGCCACCCCCACCACATCCCTCACCACCTGCCCCACTGTCCTGCCACGCCTCCCACAGCTCCGTCGCCACAGACAGCCCACTAAGCTATTGCCCCCCCAGCTCATCGCTGCCGCCCATGCTGTCTCCACCACTGCGTCCCCATCCTCTTATTGCTGCCTCTCCACTGCCCCCCTCCTCCACTCGGTGCTCATGGCCTGCCCAGGGTTGAAATGGGTGTATTGGCTGTGTAAAATAGAGGTCCTCAAAGTGTGAGGAATGCTCCCCTAAAGGGGGGGGTGCTGAGGAACGGGGAGGGGTACAGCAGCCACTGTGGGCTGGGAAGGTGCATCACCAGCCCCACTGCTCTGGCCCCACCGCTCACTTGGTGCTCCAGCTGTCACCCCACTAGTACCTGGCAGGGGGAGGTGGGGCAGACAAGGATAAGGAGGGGGTGACCCTGAAAAATTTGGGGACCTCTGATATAACCTGTTAAGGGGGCACCAGCCACCTGCAGCAACATCCTCTAACCCTGCTCTGGGACTTTTCCAGGCTCTCAGAGGGGTGGCTGGTGAGAGAAGCTCTCCTCCCAAACCTTTCACACAACAGTGGCTTCCCCCCCAGAAGTGGGACCCAAAACCCTGCTTCAGGCTTCTGATCAAGTACATAGGGTCACACAACACTGGTCAGGTTTGACCTGGTCAGACCAAATTTGAGTGAGTGGTGTTGCAACAGGATGCAGCACATGGAGTAGAGAGCTGGGTCCAGCCACACAGGATAGGAACCACCACTGCTAGGAGAGTGTGGTTTCAGGCCAACACTTCAGCACACCATGACCCTCCCCCATCTCCCCTCACGGCCTCTCATCTGCGCTGAAAGAAGTGTATATTTGCTTGTTTGTGCACCCTGCTTTTATAATTTCTGTGGGTACAGGTGAACCCATGTATCCATGCTAAAGCTGCCCCTGGACCAGATCAACCACAACCCCTAACCCCTCCTTACACACACGTAGCATTGTCCACAAGGTCCCACCCAACTCTGTCCCAATGTTCACAGCCCAGCACCGACCCTCCCTACACACTACCTTTCTTATACCAGTATAACTGCAGCGAGTGCTCCAGATTACAGTCCCTCTTTTGGCTCCTCCAGAACCTCTTGAGTTTCTGGCTGCACTTCACCCCTCACTTATTAATTTATGCACACCCCATCTGTGGCCCCACAAAGTCGCACAACCTCCTTCTCAACCTCCTCCTGGCTCTTACAAGATGGCAACTTACAAAACCAGGGAGTAGAGGTTGGCTGAGGGAGGGGCTTGCGACTGTGGGGCCTACTTCCTCTCCTGCATCTGTTCATGAATCCAGGCAGAGCGAGATCCGCTGGCTCTCTTGAGACCTTTGAAGGGCAATGGGCGCTGTTCTCTGCTCAGTGTCCCCATCCAGCTCCCTCATTTTGACCCTATGACCACCACATCCGTCCCTGTTTTCTTTTTATTTGTCCCCAGTAATTATTTGGTATTCTGGGCTCTGTGGTCCCTTCCTGTTGGCTAGGGGGTGGTCCTTTAGATGTGGGTGGGCCAATAGGACTAGTATAATCCAGTGATTTTAGTGAAATATTTCCCGACATACACCTATGTAAATGGAAGGAGATTCAGACCCAATGTATAGTAAACAAAACAACCTAAGAGCTTGCCCGATCACCTCTAGCCTCCTAGTTCTGCCATACTGTCTTCAGAAATTGATGGTAGTCTGCAGCAATGTCTACTTTGAGGCCTGTAAAGTGTCTACACACCTATGGCACTATAGAAATAACAACATAAATTTAAGTATTTGGCTAATTTACAACTTTGCCTTATTCTTGGCGAGTTTGAAGCAGTTTTGTGATACACGTTAACATGTAGGTGCTACATTTTAATTTCAAAGTCATTCAGCTCTGAAAACCTATCACAGTAGTGAACCCTCATCAAGGATCTGATCCTGCAAACATCTGACCACCCACAACTCCTACTGAAGAGATACTGTAGGTGCTCAGTATATTTAACTGTTAGGCTAGACTTAGTATGGAATGATAAACCACAACAGGCACTTTTATTTTCCAGGTTTGGGGAACTTATGGCCTATTGGTCGAATCTAGCCCATGGGCCAGATCTGGCCCCCGGCTTCCCTTGATCTCACCCGCAGCAAAGCTTGAGGTTGCCCTTCTCCCTCACAGTGGGATAAAACAGCACTAGTGCTCCAGCCCCACTGTAAGTCTCACTGCCTTGGCATTACCCACCCATGGAACTGGAGCACTAGTGCTGGTTCACCCTGCTGCAGGGGGAAGGGATGCCCAGAGCCTCAAGGGAAGCTGTAGAACAGATCAGACCTTTAAGTTAGTTTTTTTTCCTTCCTTCCTTCCATGGCCAGTGAGTGTGGCCCCTGAGTGATTTTTCTTTGGGTCAGTAGTCACTAACAAAACAAAACAAAAACAAAACAAAACAAAAAAAAAGAGAGAGAGAGAGAGAGAGAGAGAGAGAGATTCCCCACTCCTGGTTTAAAAACTGACTTTTTTTATTTTGCTGGAAAAATTCATATTGGAGTAACGTTTTATAAATATGGGGACAAATTTGATCTATGTCTCTTTTAATTGTACAAACGCAACTGGGGGCAGAATTTGGAGACTTATCCAAGGTCCATTGAAAACAATGGAACAAGTCCAATTAACTTTCAGAGAAGTAGCCGTGTTCGTCTGAATCTGTAAAAGCGACAAGGAGTCCTGTGGCACCCTACAGACTAACAGATGTATTGGAGCATAAGCTTTTGTGGGCAAAGACCCACTTCGTCAAATGCTCCAATACATCTCTTAGTCTATAAGGTGCAACTCCTTGTCGCTTTTCCAATTAACTTTGTTTGGTATTGTATTAGGCCATTGGTCCTTAATGTTAAATAGCTGGATTTTCAAAAATGACTCCTTAAAATCAAGTGCTTAAACTATGTTCAGGCACCCTTATACAGCCTATGTTAAAAAGTATGGGGCACCTAGCAGCTGCTGTAATTTCAATTTGTTTGAAAGTCATACTATTTATTGGGTACCTAAATATGGATTTAAGTCTAACTTAAGACATTTATTTCAGAACATCTTGGCCACAGGTACTAAACATAGGGGGCTCGTCTACACTGGCCCCTTTTCCGGAAGGGGCATGTAAATTTCATGAGTCGTAGTAGGGAAATCCGCGGGGGATTTAAATATCCCCCGCGGCATTTAAATAAAAATGTCCGCCGCTTTTTTCCGGCTTTTAAAAAAGCCGGAAAAGAGCGTCTACACTGGCCCCGATCCTCCTATTCAAAGTAGGAATAAGAGCCTCCGGAAAAGGGTGCTTTTTCTGGAGGATCGGGGCCAGTGTAGACGCTCTTTTCCGGCTTTTTTAAAAGCTGGAAAAAAGCGGCGGACATTTTTATTTAAATGCCGCGGGGGATATTTAAATCCCCCGCGGATTTCCCTACTACGACTCATGAAATTTACATGCCCCTTCCGGAAAAGGGGCCAGTGTAGACGTAGCCAATGGCTTGAAGCTACACTGCCATTTTGCGTCACACTGTAGCTATACCAAATTTCCACTGGATGGCACTTTACAATCACTCCTAAAGACGAGTCAGATAGAAGGATGGCTATTTTCTTTCATCCAAAGTGTTGACAAAAACTAACCCTATGATATATTGTTGTATTTAAGTAGCAGGACATCAGTAGTAGTTCTGTTCTGAATATTGTCAAGCAGATATTGCAAGTTTTGAAAAAGCTAATGCAGATAAACAGGGCTGGTAAGATGAGAAAAACTGTACTGTGATAACTAGGACTAGAATCTAGTTCCTGTGTTATAGGATGGAGTAATAGCACTTCCTTATTTACTTTCTCCACACCAGTCATGATTTTATAGACATCTTAGTATACCCACCCCCCTTGGTTGTGTCTCCGGTTGGAAATTGCATGCAGTGCTGCATGTACAAGATTTCAAGCATGCAAATGTTCCTCTGGCTCTACAATTGCAGAGACAGGATTTAGCTCTGTGTGCTTTGCTTCTTCAGTGATAAACAGAAAAGGAGAAAAATCTTCCTGCGTTTTAGCCATTTCCCTATATAAAGAGTAGCTGGTTCCAAGATTTTTAGCATGGGTTGTTAGTATTTGCATGTAACTATTACTTCTGAGATCAAGACATAGTCCCTGGTCCTATCAGAGCAATTCCTGACTTAGGAAATCTATTGACTACCTTTAGGCTACGTCCACACTGGCCCCTTCTTCGGAAGAGGCATGCTAATTTCTAACTTTGGAATAGGGAAATCCGCGGGGGATTTAAATATCCCCCGCGGCATTTAAATAAAAATGTCCGCCGCTTTTTTCCAGCTTTTAAAAAAGCCGGAAAAGAGCGTCTACACTGGCCCCGATCCTCCAGAAAAAGTATACAATATCCACCCAAACAGCAAGTAGGCCAATACACCTGGGCTGTGTCTACACTGGTTCCTTCTTCGAAAGAGGCATGCTAATTTCTAACTTTGGAATAGGGAAATCCGCGGGGGATTTAAATATCCCCCGCGGGCTTTAAATAAACATGGCCACCGCTTTTTTTCCGGCTTGGGGAAAAGCCGGAAAAGAGCATCCAGACTGGTGCGATCCTCCAGAATAAAGCTCTTTTCCGGAGGATCTCTTATTCCTACTTTCAAGTAGGATCTTTCGGATCT